AAAGGGTGTCTTATCCCATAACAGCTGTGGAACATGTTGAGGCATGTTCAGCCTTGTACATTATAGGACATGCGCAGTTCTTCACAAATTACGTGAAGAGGAGGAGTTTGTTTTTTGGGTTTAGGATCCAGTTTTTTTTAGCATAAAGAGACTGGTTTTTTGAGAGAGCGCGAGAGAGGGGGGGTGACCCCTGGTAGACTCTCTCCGGGTAGGCTGTGTGCTTCAGAGCTGGGTTAATAGCTCTCGGTAAGGTCTTTCTAGACGGGGTAAATATCTCTCGAATGTATTGGTTGTTGGCTGAGTGGAATGATTTGATGAGAGAAAGTGTGTGAACCTTTATAAATACCGCGACCTGTGGGGAAAATCTGGTCCCCCGAAATTTGCGGACAGGAATGGGTTTTTGAGTGTTAATCCGCCGTCTGTGTCGGAAAAAGTGTATGAACCTTTATAAATACCGCGACCTGTGGGGAAAATCTGGTCCCCCGAAATTTGCGGACAGGAATGGGTTTTTGAGTGTTAATCCGCCGTCTGTGTCGGAAAAAGTGTATGAAACTGAAGTGAATAAATGGGTGAATGGAAAGTTGAATGCGCTTTTTATTGTCACCGGTCTTTTTACGAGGAATTACCTCTAAATTCTATCGGGAGAATTTTAAAATGTCACAACTGAAATGGGCAGTTGAAATTAAAACATTTTGGTAATAAATGTAAGACTGTGAATTAAAGTTTCATTTGAACATGATCACAGCACGGGGTTTTTTGTTAGTATGATTATAATGTTGTGAGAGAGAAGGTAAAAACCCTGTATTAGTTTGGACCTATTTTTCTTCAAATAAACTGAATCCCACCTGTTGGATTGGGATCCTTTAAAAGACACCTGTGCTCTCCTCTCCTGCGTCAAAGGTAAGATTGCACCCTGCCACACACACTTAGGTAGGAGCACACTCCATTTACTGATATCAAAATCCTTCGGGATCGCTTAAACAGATTAAAAGAGAGTTGTCTGAATTGAAACAGCAGTTAATTGAACCTGGTTCTTCGGGGGGGTTAGGAAGAGGTGAGATCTTGCTGACGTTGGTGGATCTGAGCCACGCAGCAAACTTACATAGACTCAATAATCTTCGGAAAGGTCAATTAGGAGGTCAGAATAATTTACCGGAATAAATTATCAGGACCTCTCATACTCTAAACAGTACGCCGACAGGACACGGGGAGCTGGCGTCGTCTGGGGAGCCAGCAGGAGACGAGGTGCTGGAGTCGGCCGGTACGCCGACAAGACTCGGGGAGCTGGCGTCGGCTGGGGAGCCAGCAGGAGACGAGGTGCTGGAGTCGGCCGGTACGCCGACAAGACTCGGGGATCTGGTGTTGGCTGGAGAGCCAACAGGAGACGAGGTGCTGGAGTCGGAACCATGACTGTATGGGCCAGCTCTGGTGCAGGGACCACGGTTGTAAGATCCAGTTCTGGAGCCGGAAACATGGCTGTAAGGTCCGGTGCTGAAGCCTGGATCATGGCTGTGTGGGCCGGTTTTGGAGCCGGAAACATGGCTGCTGGGCAAGGAACCGGAACACGGATCCATGGCTGTGTGGGGTGGTACTGGAGCACGGTACCATGGCTATGTGGGATGGTACTGGAGCACGGAACCATGGCTGCTGGGTCCGGCACTGGAGCCGGAACTGGCGCTGGAACCCTGGCCTTTCGTCTTTTAGGAGTCTTTTGGAGGCTTCGTGGACCTCCAAACGCCAGACCAGACCCCAGGAAAGGGTCAACATGAAGCCTGGTACTCAGGGCTACGTGAGAAAACCCTAAGCCACTCGGGCAACAAGCTCCAGAGCCAGGGCTTGCGAGCAACCTCCTGACGTGCCTCCTTCAACGCAGCCTCTCTACCCCGTCTAGATGAGGCGCCTTTCCACGTATAAAAAATATACTCCAGAGAGTATCCAAGACTTTCCGCCTGTCGCATCAAAAGGGCTGAATCTGCTGGGTCCATAATGTGGTCGGTTCGTACTGTCACGGTGTGTGAAGCAGGTAGGACCCAAATGCAGATTAAAGTGAAAGTTCCTTTATTTCAAGGCTAGGTGATAACACAGACAGAACAGAACACTCACCGACGAACTAGTCATGACAAAAGACGAACCGACAAAGACAGACAGAAAAACCAGAACTTAAATACACACAAGACTAATCACACAAACAAGACACAGGTGAGGAGGGAGGAGAAAACACAGGAGCCACAGGTGAACACAATTGGGTAATCAGACACACCAGGGAAACTAACGACAGGGAACCACAGACAAATCCAAACAAGACACAACGCAGACAGAAACAGGCAAGACAGGAGGTGAAGACCTTACAAAATAAAACATGAAACAAGACAAGACAAAACACCATAAAGACAGATCGTGACAGTTATTTGGAGGAACTCTGATCAGAACAGCAAAGTAAATTCACCCTGGGTCTGTCTTCACACTCTTTCTAGTAGAATATCATCTGCTCAGCTGTGGTTTAACTACAAGCTGCAGGAAACACTGTCCTCTGGCAGCAGGTCGAAGAACAACATAACATGTTTGCCTGGGAAAATATGTAGAGAGGGGCATCCAGACATTATTTAGCTGTTGATCTGTCAATCAACAAATCTCTGTATTGCATATCACTCTCTTTCCCTCTCTGCATACAAAGCTTGTTTTCCCTCTCTCTCTATTTACAGTCAAAGAATGTTCCTCTATTCAGACCCCATGTGGTTTGCAGATGAAACTCTCAGCTGCTACTTGTTACCGCAGTCCGTGCAACTGCAGGATCACTCAGACTTCCCGAGAGGCTGGCGTTGGTTACAGCGAAAGTCCGTCTGTGTGTGAGATCATCTGTCTGCCACATGTCAACATGCTGACATTATGCAAGTCACTTTGTGTAACTCCATGTCGCTTACACAGGGCACAGCTGAACGCCAGTGGTCGGCCTTGTGTGGAGGCCATTAACCTCAGTGACTTATGAGTTTATGAGTTCATTTTAAGATTGTATTGTTTGTTTTTAAATCGCTCAATGGGCTGGCCCCTCTGTACATCTCCGACCTCGTAAAGGTGTACACCCCCTCAAGGGCTTTGAGGTTGGCTGATCAGCTGCGGCTGGTAGTCCCAAAAACCAAGAAAAAGACCAAACCGAGCCTTCTCAGCGGTAGCCCCCAGGCTCTGGAACGACCTGCCCCCCCATGTCAAATTGTCGCCCACCCTTCAAACTTTTAAGTCAGTTTGAGCTATGTTTTATCGATTTTTGTGCTTTTATTGTTTGTCCAGCCTTTATGTGCCTTTTATCTATTCTTATGTGTGCCTTTTATCTATTATTGTAATATTATATTTTATTATAATGTTATGTTTGCTGTGAAGCACTTCGGTAAATCCTCTGTTTTTAATATGTGCTATACTGTATAAATAAAGTGGATTGGATTGGATGAGTGTTTGCATTGCAGCTGCAGATGTGGAGCATTAGTAATAATGTCTCGTTTGTTAGAGCAGAGGCAGCTGCTCAGGCAGACAGTGTCAGTAACGCTTAGTTTCATGGGTTTGTTATTGCCCTATAATCACATGAAAGTAGAGAGCTGTCTCCAGCGTCATTATGTTCCCATACAACTTTTTGCATTCTCCATTACATTCGGAGGGATTTTTTTCTCCAGACTTTGGTTACAGTTGTAAACATGTGGTCACTGCTTTAAATTGAAACACAACAAAAACAAAACTTCACAGCAGCTAGAAATGACAATGCAGTTTTGTTGTATGGGAACACAGGTTTTACAAGATCACAGTTAACTAGATGTGATGGGTTTGAAACCAGTTTTTCAAATCCAGATGCCTTTAGTATAAAGCACTGTAAAAATATATAATTAATGTATTGTTGGATAAGACTTTGTTTATGGAAAAGTATAGAACATCTGAGCTTTGGAAATGTTTTGTTGTTTGAAGTGCAATATATGACACAGCAGCTTTTAGGCATGATTAAACAATTGTTCCCATTCGGGACCAATTCCAAGTTTTCACTGGAAAGTGGGCGGAGCCATTTAATCCGCAAGGCACTGACATAGTGCTGCTCTCATCTATAGTGGGTACAGTTCATGTTTATACAGTAGCCTATGTACAAGTTGCTAAAATGCAATGCAAATGCATAACAACACAAACAGAGAAAACAGTGTTTTTTATTTTGGGACGAGATCACGTTAGACACCAAAAAACCTCTGAGTGACATTTCTATATGCACACTGTTTTGTATCAAAGGTCAGTGTTGGTTTATTCACTTTATGACCATTATCTCTCCCTACCCAAGTATTTCTTACATCTAAATGTTAAACATCATTGTGGCTTATTTCTTGGTAATGGTTACTGAGTAGAGTTTGTAAGGCACGGACACACATATTGATTTTCTTGTGGCTTTGTTCACACAAGGCATTCTGTTAGAGTACAGAAAAAGCACAGGCGAAAATAATGTATTTAATGATGTCTGAATTTGTGTTCCTGCATGGTGGCTAACAGTCACTCTCTCATTGCTTAATGGGACACCTGAGTAGAAAAGAGGCATCGTTAGTCAGATTAGTAACACCTGTGCTTTCCAGCTATGGTCAAAATGTTGACAAAAAGGCGAGTTACCTATTCATTTATTTGATTTACAGATTACTTTAGCAACAAAAGGAAATCCCTTTTAACTTCCAAATTAAATTAAATATTTTTTTTATTCTTGCCTTGCCTTGTCTTGGTTCATTTCAACCAATAAGACTGTTTCAACCTCACAGTTATTTAGGTTTTGGATTAAATCATTGGTGAAGTGAGTGTAAAGTGTGATAAATAAAGAAGTACATAAAATCCCCATGGAGCAGTCAGATTTCTGTTTCAAGTGTCGAACTTTATTAATGACTAAACTTACAAAAAGAAAACATACAAAATGTATAAATAATACTGTAAATGAACTACAGTCTGACAATACTTTATTAATAATATTATTAAATAATACATCGATAACCCATAGAAAAAAGTGAGATGCCTGCATCTTACCATGTCATATAATATAAAAAGCTCATAAATAGAATACTAAATAGATTAAAAAAGCAATAGTATAAAAATATTAATTATTTCACAATATTTCTCCATCAACATTTAGCATGTAAACAGTCCCAAAGGGTAACAGGTGTGCCTCTGCAGAGTGCATTAGTAGGGCACATTTTAACTTTCTTAAAAACATGCCAAAAACATACATTCTGTTTTACAGCTGAATTGTAGAACTCAACGTTCGATTATATGACTCCTGGAAATTCTTATTATACTCATTGCTTGATTCTAACTTAAGCTAGCTTGTAATGATAATGATAACATGCCGATGCTAAGCAGGTTCCTCGTCTTATTTTAGCATGTTAGCATGCTAACGTTTTGCGAGTAGCACAAAACACAAAGGTAATACTGTTGGGAATGTCACTAGCTTTTCCGATATTGGACTAGGTACAATGTTGACCAAGTGGTGGAGTAAGAAGTCAAAGATCATTAAAGGGAAACAAATCATGTTGAGGGGTAAGTGAATTCTAAATTTCATGGCATGGACAGACATTTCTTTTAAGACCGTATGTGTAAACTGACTTGGCATTTCCATGTCTAAAATTCTTCACTTGGTAAAACTCCCAATAGTTAACAGTGTTTTTGTGAGAAGATATTTGCAGTTGCTTATGTGCTCAGGCTTAATGTCAAGGGCATCGGGATAGTCTCTGGATAATCACCAAAACCCTTTTTGACCAGAAGCAAAACATTCGTAGCCGTTTAGAGATCTCAACAGAGAACTGAAGCACATCGAAGGGCGTGGAGACCTCAGGGAGGGAGGGAGACTCCGAAGGAGGAACCTCTTCGCCGATCTAAAGATACAAAGGATGATCAGAGTTTAGTAGAGGGTATGGCTGTGGCTTTGAAGTCAAATAACACAAGATGAATTCCCATTTAGGGATACACTTTGTATAGCTTAATGGGAAATCCACCCCTTGACAACAAGAAGTTTTTAGATTTTTCTTTCTTTCTTTTAGTGAATCTCCTGTTTTATTTAGTTTTAAATGTTTGGGATTCAAATAATCCCTGTATATGAACCAAACAATGCTGCTCCTCTCACCTGGTGAAGTGATGCATTCAGGAAGGTGGACAGATGAAGGAGGTGAGTGTTGGTCTCCTTTGCTGGCTGGGAGGAAAGACTGACGTTTTCTTTGGCTGTTTTCAACCAATTAACATGCAGCCTGAAGGACTGAGTGTACATGAACAACTGGGAGAGCGACTCATTCACCTGTGAAGACATTACAGAGAGCCATTATAGACCTACCTACAACAAACAACCTTTCTATATATAAATGATTTCCTTGATTCTAGTCCTTTACCTTCAGTGAGTCGATATGAGCCGCAGTGTGTTCCATATCAGGAAGACCGGCCAGTCTGTTTCCCGCAACCTCTAGGTGTTCAAGTTCTTCACCTGTCTGTTTGGAGCATGATGGGAAAAGAAGTTGGCTTTAAAAAAATGAAAAATTCTAAGATATAACTTGGATTTTGAGCAAATTCAGAAAAAACTTGGATAAAAGGTTCAAACAGAAATCAATAAGACCAAATATATAGCTTCTTCTTCTTCTTCTTTCTACCCTGATTGGACATCTATAAACTGAGCATATTTAAGATGAAAATACATTTAATATCAATTCATTAGCCGGGCCAGGGAGTATAGAGAAATCTTACCAAGTTATGGAATTTTCCGGATAATTTCGTCAACCTTTCCACCTGATGGATCATGGATCTCAACATGCCACACAGAGGAGAGGCGGGATAAGATGATGAAGGGACACACAGCCCAGCCAATAGCAGCAGGTGGAGAAGACAAGGGGTGCAGTCATCGATTACTGAAAAGACAAGATTATACATTTAAAAAACACCGCTTGTGACATGTTCCTGTTTTTGTGTTTCCTATAATTGTAGTGTTTCTTTTCTGTAAATGTTATTTTGTCACTGCCATGTATTGCAGAATTGCTTTTCAGTTTACAGATTCACTCAAAACTACACACACAATGGGGGGCTACTGGCTGCAGTTTAGACTGTAGCATCCCACAACCACAAAGCTGCATGGAAACACATTTTTATTGCTAACCTCAATCTAGAAAAACCATGCACATGTCAACACAAGATGATTCCAGAAGTCAGAAACACTGTCATTCCATTTGATCATCAGAAATACGTTGCATTGGGTTGTTCAAACATTTAAAAACCCTGATGCAGCAGTTCAGATTTAAAGCTCTGCGGATGTGAATAGAGGTTTATAGGTCAGATGATGATTTACTGCTAGCAAATGTAGTGGCCGAGTGTGTTAATGTGGGGGTTGGAAACCGAGATGACTGCAGACTGATCATTTGTATTTCCGAGAAACAGTGTCATGTGGTCCTGAGAAAAATCATCTCAGCAAAAATGGCAGAATTAGTTTGTTTTTCTAAATGTTTTGTATTCATACACATTCTTTCACATTAATTCTGCTAAAAAGGTCCAAGATAGATGGATGGGTATACTTTATTGCTGTGTTTCTTACATCGTGATTACTCTAAGTCGCAAATTCACTCAACCTTTACCTCTGTTTTTGGTCTCCACCCATTCTTTTTCAAGCTTTTTCACTGAAAAAACATTCCTTCTGTTGCTATAAAAAGTGAATGGAGCAGAAGTTGCAGGCCATAAAACCCAAAAAAAGAGCTGAATGACGCGCACACGCTGTGCAAATCTACGGGGAACTTTACTGATGATTCTGCACGAGTTTATGACACATTACACCATCATTTGACCCACAGGTGTGCAGACTATTTGGTGTCAATGTATCTCTCATGAATGAATGGGCCTCTGTGTTTGAATATTTCCTCCTTGTGTTTTTTACAAAGAAAGTATCATCCAGCTATCATCTCTCTGCTCTTTCAACCAGAACTCTTTTAATCAATCTTTGAACGAATAATTCCCATGAATCCCCTGTGGTTTGTTTATCTTGGTCTCTGAGGCTTTATTGTCAGTGGAGATCAAGGAAATAACACATCAGTCAAGAAGACAGCTCATGTAAATCTATCCACAGGTTTGTGCAACTTCAGAAAACCCATTAGCCGGAGCGACAAAGGAATGAGCTGTCTGTTGGTGTTACATCAGGGTGAAGGAATGAGAGGTATGTTGTGGGTTTCTCTCCCCCCACACCCCCTGCCTGCTCTGGGCCTCCTGTTAGAAAAGGAGAGGGGAGCGGGCGCGGAGGTCTGACTCAGATCGATCTGTGTGGTGGCGTCACCCGGCTGACGCCTCAGGCTGCACTCTTTAGAGGGAAAACATCCACTTTGTAATGAGTGTCTCAAACTGTGCACTTTAAACACTTTTACTGCCATTCAGACACTCACTGCAGTAACTTTAAGGTCAAAGGTCAATTTGAGGAGAATCCAGTACACTTTTGTACCAAAGACATTGTTTCTGGTACAAAAGATAAAGTCAACTTTGGAAGATCTGTAAAAGAAGTGTATACACTTTCCATATTTCCATTTTCTCTCCTCGTAATATGAAAATATGGGTTTTTTATGTAGCATATATATATATCTTTTTTTTAAATTTAAAAATGCTTTTTAACTATTTATTGATTGTCTTAATTCTCAGAGAGCTGTCCTTGTCTAGCAGATTTGTATACCAAATCAACATGAAATACACTATTACATTTTTTAATAACTAATGTAATCAGTAAGGCCATTTTCAACAGCAGACCTGTGGTCAGCCTGACAATCGCTGTACATTTTCACTAGAGTAAGCTTGTTTTTTAATCTTTGAAATCTTAATATAATGCTGCCTTGCTGGTTTTTTAAAGTTCACAAAACAATCACATTCGACACAAGCACCACAAGTGCCATCATCTCGTTGATGTCGCCGATATCTTAAAAGGGGAGCTGATGCGAGGAAACATCTGGAAGAAAGACCTTAAACGATACCCCTGTTATTACCTGATAACAGTAAAAACTGCACCGATAGGATGGTTCAAAAGTGGAGCCACACTGAAAACACATCATCCCATTAGATCCCCAAATAATCACAAAAAGCTGAATCCTTTCAAATTGGCCAATGAAAGTGCACCCTCAGCTTCTTGGTTGTATCTTTCTACAACCAATAACAAGTCATTGTAAGTCAGCACAAACTAAAAATGTGGAATAGCTCCATCACGCTATTGGAAAACTACTGAAGAAGACATCAGCAAAAATTCTGTGTCATACTAGAAAAACATCCCCGGGCAGTACATTCATGTATTTGGCAGTATAAAAAGCTGTGACAGCATTGCAGGTCAGAGCAGAACTGCTTAAGAAGTAAATTGGCTCTCTTTAATGTAGCTATCAGACCATTTCGTCAGCACACGCTCACTCACACACGTAACATCAACACACCCATGTGACGTATCACACACTTCTACAGTTTCTGACGTATTTCGTGTCTGTCTCATTTCCTCATCTGAGCCAGAACTTCTGACGAACTTCTGTTGGGAAGTGACAGCATCGGGCAGGAAGCGCCACACACATGCCCACTTAACTTCCTCTGATAATGACAGAAAAAAACCTCTTTAATTAAAGGACTTTCAGAGAACTGCCAAACCACAAAAGTAATGATTGACATTTAAATAAAACATAATTGTGGTGAGCCACATTTTTACGTGTGTTCAGATCAAAAATATGAATAATTTCAAAGCAGTTGAGATACATTTGAAGCTGAACTGATCAACTTAATATATATTTTTTAAAACAACAAAGAGAGAACCACACAATTTGTATGTTTGGTCCTTATTTCCGCCGGTGTGCCTAACATAATGTTAACTATAACCACAGGCGGACTGGCCATTGGGAATACCGGGAGTTTTCCTGCATTGGCAGGGAAACGGGGTTCAGGGGGAGTGGCTGTACCCGTAGGATAGAAAAGGGGGAAGTGACGTCTGACTCAGAGGTCGCACGGCTGTGGAGAAGAACGTGTTGCCCACATTCTGTTACTGAGTTTAGGCTAGTTAGCTAGCAGGTTTATTGTTTTGGGTGCAGTCACTTTTGCCTCCACTTGCTGTTCAAATAAATGTTGAAAGAAAAAGTAAATCTGTTTACAGTTCTGTTTCATATGGGTGTTGAGAGATGTATCCATAGGGTTAGTCCCTAATGTTGCTCTCAAAGTGCACCAGATTGATGCTTTTAACTTCAACATTTAAAAAAAAAATCTTCCCGGGGGAGCTTGCCCCCGGACCCCCCTAGAGGAGGTGAGGTCCACCACCTGCCCACACCCCCTGTTAAATTGTCTCACCCACATTGAGGATGCTTCCTACGCCCATGTTTTATTCCATGCGTCAAGTCAGGCCAATTGGGTCCAAATGTTATTGCATCAATGATCTGTTAACATTAAAATCACTAAATATATGCCGTAACTATTTTGCTCTAGGCAACTCAAGGGCTCAGGTGATGTGATTACTATATGAATAATGGTCCAAAATAACATTAAATGCATAGGGTTTTTTGTTAAGTAACATACTTTCGTCGCCGGCCGATACATGCCGCGCATTAAGTGGGCCTGTCTGTCAATTAATCCCCGGGCCACTTTTTCCCCCCAGTCCGCACCTGACTATAACAACTGAATACAATCATTTCAAGTGTAAGCATGTTACTGCTGCACCCATTAACCAAAGTGATGTTGCTTCTGGCTAGGAAGTTTGAAAGAACTGAACTTTGTTCTTTTTTTCTTTTCTCTTCGATAGAAAAATCACCATTATGGCAAAGGAAAAAGATTACAATCCAAAATCGAGTGCAGCAGGGTCTCTGCGGATACAGAATCTGATAACATAGCAAAGCTTTACTTTTGTATGAATCTATACAATGTTTTATATTAGCAATAGCCTAATTATTAAGCATGATTGATTTTATTTTAGAGAGAAGAAATTCCCTTAAAAACATCTGTCCTTTTTTCAGGAAATTGTCATTAATAATAATAAGTCTAACATATATTCAAAATCTTTTGAATGGGCTATTAATTTCCAAACTATGCAACTGCTATGTGCAGTTTCTCATGTTGCAGCGTCTTGTTCCCTCTTACATCATCAAGCCTGACACAGATAGCGTGACGTCAACCATGAAGTGGAGACGTCTTGAGTTGCAGTACCACAGTCAGCCACTGGGGCAAACTGTCAGTGACTCCATATCTTAAACTTAAAGCATTGATCCTCATACAGTGAGTGTGCAAACTACATTACAATAAGTGCCCTGATGATGTGCAATGATGACATCACCGTCTGTCTAGCTGACTCATGAATTTCACATCCTTCAGACACATACACACACTGTGTTTACTGGCGAGTCAACAGGTTGTACTAATTGGTTAGTAATCGACTAGTTGTGTTTGACTGGATAAGAGTGTTATGCAATGTAAGAATCATCATAACACCAGGGACTGTGGCTGGAGACCTTCATTGCTCATTGTGACCACAAGCTTCACTTTCATTCATAGAACTCTGTTTACATTCATCCTGGTGGTGTCAGGAGTGGGCAAGTTATTCAGTTATCACTACGTAAGAGATTCTTGAAAGCTCTGATTGGCAAGATTGTTAGGCTCCATGAACCGCTAATCTGACACAAATTGTGTAAAAGTATACACTTAAGTTATTTTTCTATATTAACGTACATTTGTATATGAAAATATTGCAACAATAAAGCGAATTATTGCAAAAAATCTTATTGTTGACAAGTTCAAACTACTCAAGGGAAAGTCCCACCACACACCCACACATAAGACCAGCCAATCACAGCCCTACCTGACACCAAACATTTTGTGAAGGTGAAATAAAATGCAATCATATTTGAACACAGCTTACATATTGTTCACACTCACCTATGTATTCCTTCACTAATTGATTCTTTCACTTGCACAAGTTACTCAGGCTCATAGTAAAAGTGAAGACCACGTGCAGCAGAGCCCCCTCCTCCTCCACACACACACACACACACACACACACACACACACACACACACACACACACACACACACACACACACACACACACACACACACACACACACACACACACACACACACACACACACACACACACACACACACACACCACTCTATACACTCATTCTTAAAGTATCATAAACAAACTTACGTTTCATCTTTTCTTCTCTTGCGGTAGTAAACAAACCTCCTTCTGAGTCCAGTGTGTGAACTGTACTTGTGTGTGTTTGTGTATGTGTGGACTAAATGTAAAAGTTCCCTTTTATAGCATAGCAGCATGACACATCACCTGAGTCATCAGCCATCGTCGCCATTCAACGCCCACGCTGGACAACCCCCCCCTCCCTTCCCCTCCACTAACCCCCCTGATCTGCAAAAAAAGTTTCAAATTTCTTTGTTGAGGTGATAAATCATAAATAAATTGAAATAGAAGAATCAAAAAATACAAAATTGAGCAATTGTCTTTCCTTCCTCCCCCCACCTCCTGCAGCCTGATGTCATCACCTTTCTTCTTGTGTTTGACTTATCTTGTCTCTTGTTCACAAACATTAAGAGTTTTTTACACTGAAGCCTATTCTATCTCGTTTCCAAATTACTCCTCTTGTTTGTGTCGTCCAGCTAATTCAGATAAGAGGGAACAGATCATGTATTTAAAGGAAAAATAGGAAACATGACATCCCAGCAACAGATACCATTAATAATGAATGCAGGGAAGATGATAAACTAAAGTAAACAAAGACCCCTTACTCCTTTCATAGGCCAAATGCATCTAACCACAGTGAATGTGCACTTGAACCCCAGCTGCACTTGTAACACTTTTGTGGTCAAACTGCGTAGCTCCCAGTGTGGTTTCCTGCAACTAATAAAATGTATAAAACCAACCTGGATAAAAGGAATTGAAACTCAATAAAACGGAAATTCGCAGGCTTGAAAACGTCATTTTTTAGCTGCGTATTTGCTCTTGTGGAATTTCTATCATTTCAAAGAACAGTAATGTTTTTAAAATGTTTTAAAATGGTATGACCTCCTGGTTTGTCAGTATTCTTGCCAAAGAGGATACAAACAAGAAATTGCATCAGTTATTAATCCTTGTTTTCTGGAAATTGAGGTTACCTGAAATAATGCAGAGTTGAGATTTAATCTTCATAGGTTTTTTTGATGAATCTTCAGGAACACACTTGTTCCCGTTACTGAAAGTCATCTCGGTAACATTTTTCTGTGTCAACTACGTATCTGTAGTTAGATTGTGGTTGAAGTCTGATTGCTGTAATAATCTGTTTCCTAACCATGTAGCAAAAGACGATGTTGAAACAATGTCAACATGTGAAAGTGGTTGCTTGTAAGAGTGAACTATTATATATGTTTCCCCTTAAAGGGATAGTGGAAATCCGCGAATTTTGGGTTTAACTTATGTATTTGTATTAAAAATAAGCATAATAAACAATTTTTTTTAATTTCATGCGCCTAGTTTCATTTTATTTTCAATTTTACTGCGCCCTCTCAATGAAACGAAATACTTCGGGAATCGTCGGGAATCTTCGGGTGATGACGAAAGCAGAGGAAGACGGGCACAAACAATGGCGGACATTCAATAGCATTTGCATGTGAATAGCCGACCTTTATTATGGTGAATAGATGTGTTTTGTATGGCTGTAGTGCGACAGCAAATGCAGAGAATGGCGTATCGACTCATGCGTTTCCAAGAAACCCAGCCATTCGTCGTCAGTGGGTGAAATTTGTTCAGAAATGTTCACTATAGGTAATACTATAAGACTGTAAGACGGCAATACTTTATACCGAGTATATTGCCATAAATATGATGATTGATTATCAGTACAACATTCTACGTGACACAACGACATTGGATTAACCTTGAGATGCGTTTTTATTCCGTTGAACACAACTTTTGATCACAAATCAAAAAAGGTAAGACGTAATTATTGTAATATTTTTGGAACCGGATGTTGTTTACTTTCTCTTTTCTGGCTGATAGCTCCAGGAATTCGAGGTCTTACAGTGATGACATTACATGTGTGGAATCTGTGGAGTCTCAGCTTTAAATCGTATATCTTGTTTGTGCAGTTAAGATAGTAATAAGGGCATTTCTACCGTGTGTTGTGTGTAAAAAAGCGTTAGCATTAGTTAGCATTGTTTCGCTCAATGCTAATTCAAAGGCTTGGTATTACGCTTGTGTTTTTTCTAGCTAACAATTGTTCTTATTGTCAGTTAGCGGAGTTTCTTACCTTTAAAAGGGTATGAAACATTAATAGTTTCATAAATGTTAAGAAGCCCTGAGACATGTGAGAGAGAAAAAACGGTGGGAGGGGTCCACTGGGGGGACCTTCGGGCTTAACTGGTTAACAATGATTAATATTTGTAAAGGCTACAGGTGATCTTAAGATGCGTGAGCTATGCTTAGGGACCTACCAGTCAAGATTATTTGTGCGTAGGGGTGCATCATTTGGCGCCTGGTCCTGGTCATCCTCGCCATTGCCCATGCCGTGAACCATCACCCTCGGGCTCGGGCTCGAACAAATAAGGACGTAATGGTCCATCGTCTGGCTCAATATTCTCACCATCGTCGCTTACTGAACCGGATTCAGATTCAGTTCCTAAAACGACATTTTCGTAGGAAAGCCGAGAGGATGTTTCTGACTCGCTATCATCACTGGATACCTCGTACAATCCTTCTTCTTTGTCTGGTATATTTGCCCTTCCACGTTCATTCTGCATAGACGCCATGGTTTGTTATCGTATCGTCTTCCTGAGTTTTCGTCACTTCCGGTTTGGCTGAGTCGAACATTTCGTTTCTAAAAAACTTCGGGGAAGCTGCAATAAAGTGCTTCTAACATGCGTAAGGCAATTATTATATTTTTTTAATCAGGTGTGATTGTTTTGGTACGTAATTATGCTTGTATATAAGTTAAAACGAAACTATTTGAGGTTCCATTTCCACTATCCCTTTAAGCTACAACTCACCTCAGCTTGGTAGTAAGTTTAAGTTCCTTTTTTAGCTTTCCCCCACAACTCGACCCTCTCAAAGCGTCATTTTTAACCACAGCAGAAAGCTGGTTTGAAGGAAAAGCTGTAAAAAGCTTACTGGACATTACCTGTTCATCAGACAGACACAGTGGAGCGTTTAGTGGTCCCATCTCATTGTTCAGATACCCCAAAGTGCATAGAATGTCCCATTTGGCCGAAAATGAATTTGTCCAATGGTCCCTTACTCTGAAAACAGATGCACATTGCTCAGAAGGCCCATTGCTCTAAAAAATAAACGCTCTCCTTCAACAAACAGAAGCGCATAATTAAGTTGAATGACGCAAATGAATGACCCGTAACCATGATATTAAACCCAACCACTCCCAACCAAGTACTATAGCCAATCAGAAGCAGATTAGGATTAGTCATGCCTTTGCATAGTAGCAGAGTGTGTATTTTTGGAGCAATGGACCATCGGACAAATGGGCTTTCAGTCAATGGGAGACCCCCCATTTAGCAGCTAAAGAGCCGGGTGATTCCCTCAGGAGTTGGCGGGGACCAAAAAGAGAGAGAAAATATTGAACACAAAAGTGACTTCAAATGAATAATCAATATGTGTTAGCTACAGTATATCATCTTTAAAAGTGATGAAATGTCAATTTTGTGTTCACAACTTATTTCAAAGTTATTGCGGGTTTAAATAAAATGGTACTTGTGATACCAGTTTGCTGTTTAAAGCTTATAAATTACACTTTGTATCCTTTTAAATGGCAAAACCTTTCAAAACTGATTTTTTTTTAATGAAATGTTGCAATAATTCCCCTGAAATATCCTTATCTGACTCAGACAGACTCAACTGTCAAGATTATATTGACAATTTCTTTGGAAAGGAAGAGGGCACAACAAGATAACATAATTTAAACAGTTCCGGTCCTGCACACATGTGGAAAAACCATTTGTTAAATGTTATCGTTTTAAGTTGGTAACAGTCTCCTCATGGCTTCATACATGTCTGATCATTTCATCCGCATTATTTAGCAACTGAGGGACATTTAAGGTTTTTAATATAAGTTTAGATTTATATTCAAATAACTTTAATACAGATGTTTAATAAAACATCCACTCCTATTAATTGGAAATGTTTAAAAGAAACATGGGGATTGAAATGCACTCATAGGTACGTGCGGTTGAGGTGACATTACATTACATTACATTGCATTTAGCTGACGCTTTTATCCAAAGCGACTTACAATAAGTGCGTTCGACCAAGAAGATACAAACTTGAAGAAAACAGAATCATATAAGTACATCAGGTTTCATAGAGCCAAAACATTTCAAGTGCTACTCAACTGGCTTTAGAAAAGCCAGTCCTTTATTAGTATATAAGTGCTTTGTTAGTAATTATATTGCTCGAAGTGGAGTCGAAAGAGATGAGTTTTCAGTTTGCGCCGGAAGATGTGTAAGCTTTCTGCTGTCCTGATGTCAATGGGGAGCTCATTCCACCATTTTGGAGCCAGGATAGCAAACCCACGTGTTTTTGCTGATGGGAACTTGGGTCCCCCTCGCAGTGCGGGTGCAGCGAGCCGTTTGGTTGATGCAGAGTGCACGTGCTGGGGTGTACAATTTAACCATGTCCTGGATGTAGGAAGGGCCAGATCCATTCACAGCATGGTACGCAAGTACCATTGTCTTGAAGTGGATTCTAGCAGTTACCGGAATCCAGTGAAGGGAGCGGAGGAGCGGCGTGGTGTGGGAACATTTAGGAAGGTTGAAGACCAGACGAGCCGCTGCATTCTGGATGAGCTGCAGAGGTCGGATGGCACATGCAGGTAGACCAGCCAGGAGGGAGTTGCAGTAGTCTAGGCGTGAGATGACGAGAGCCTGGACCAGAAGTTACTGGTCCAGGTGAATGGTTAGATGTCCCACAGGTTGTTTAAAAGAGGCCCTATGCTTTGTGGATGTTTTCCTTTCCTGTATTGTGTCATATACATGTTTGACAATCCCAAAGCTCCCTCCAGAGGGAGTTTTCTCACACACTCTCCCACACCCTGCCTGAAACGTAACATAGTAACATCACTGCGTAACACTTGCGCTTCTATTGGCTAGCACTTCAACACATTGTACATGCTATAGGCTAAGGGGCGGGACATCTCTTAGTGGTTTACCAATCACAACAGCCGGCCAGCTGACCAATCAGAGCAGCCTGGGCTCTGGTTTCAGACAGAGGGTGAAAAGTGGTGCTGCAGCACAGGCAGTATGAGAAAAATATTGAACTTTTTGAACATTAAAGCATGAAAACATGTCACAATATTTTAAAATGACATGGAAATATAAAAAAAATTAAATAAATGTCATTATAACATATACTCACCAATACATTGTACACAAAATCCATCCTCCTTTCTTTCCTCAAGAAGAGTTTTCAGTTCCAACAATAAGTCCTGTTCTAACGCCATGGAGGCTAATGCTGAAAGTCGAGTGTGTGCAATCGTATTTCTGGCAAAAACCATTGTTGAGCTCCTTGCACACTTGTTCGTTAAGCTGAAGATCCACTCGGGTTTCCCCAAAAGTTTTCAAACGTCATCATACGCCTGCTATGGCCCCGGTGTCGCCAATTCGAAATTGGATTGGTCAATGCAACAGTTTCATTGACATTTATTTTAAGCTACAAGCAACCAAGCGCAGCACAGAGAAAAGCTATGAAATATAGAGAATAGAAGATTAGAAATCACTTAATACATGTTAAAGTTTAAGCCAGCAGAGAAGGCCTTGCTGGCCCTGACGGCCCGCCACTGGAAAAAGATTTCTCGGAGAGTGCAGACCTCTGCCAAGAACATATTGCATTCACATGTTTCTTTAAAGGTTATATAGTTTATTATTCATAATGTGTGAATATCACTTGATGACTTTTTTGTGTATATTTTCCTAATGGGGATCAACTTTTTGCAATTATATCGACATCGCACAAATGTAGCAAAAACGCCCTTCGAAATAGATAAGCAAATCTGCTCTGTGATTCAGATCAGACCAAAGTGGAATGAGTTGTTATTGGCCCATGCTCACTAACTGCCAAGTTTCCAGAAAATCAACTTTTATTTTTGCATAATGCTGTTAACAAACCATCAGACAAACAAGCTGAGCTAAAAACACAACCCTTACCTTTATTGCATGAAAACTAATGTGTTGACAGTTAATATTTCGCAGATATTTTCCAAATGTACATTTTGCAGTGACAGTCAGCAGTTCAAACATGTCATTATGTTGATAAAAAAAGTACAAATTATACTTTTCCTTTTTGCTGCTGCAACTTAGACTGAATTTTTGGAGAGATGGCAGAAAATGACCAAGTTAAACTTCTGTTTAATAAATCAAGACTCACACACTCAGTTTAAGTCACTCTGGATGAAGTGTCAGCTTAAAAAAAAAGCTAACATTTTACTTTATAGTTGTGTTACTCACTTCATTCATTAAATTGCGGGGTTTTTTTTTGTCAAAGCTGCATTATCAGTGGGTTCCGATTGCATTTGATGAATGACGTTGCAGAGTTTCCAAGAAGCTACTAGTTTACTGCTTCCTATGAAATGTTTGTGATAGAGAACATCCACCCACCATGATACACACGCATGAGAGCTGCATCCTGAAATCCTCAAACCTCCCAAAAACCTAACCCTCGTTGCATGTGTGACTGCCGTCAGATCGCAGATGGTGTTTGGCTTCAAATGCTAATCTTCTGAAGTTTGTGTCAGGGAAAGCAATGCATGGAAACATACAACATACGTCATAACGGTTGTGGGCTGACTCGCCTGATCTCCTTTTGTCATCAAAGATAATGCCATATGGGGTAATGGAGAGTCTGTGTGTTTCGGTGTGCGTGTGTGTGTAAGGGGGGGGGGGGGGTTAGGTTGGGCCAGTAAATAGCGGTTTTCACAGGCCAACTATTCATTTCCGAAACCACCCACGTTCCGGATATCTTCTACTTTTTATCTTTTTCCCCCCCCCCTCACTCTTCTCTGACCTTTGTTGCATGGAGGAATGTGAGGAATGCAGCAGTGAATGGGCGAGTGGTGGAGGCAGCATGCAAATGATTGACGGTTTTTTCGAATGCAATGTGAGATCACATAAAATTCCTAACATTTGTCTGCTATTTTTGGCACACACAAAATAGCCCGTCTAAACATGAAAGCCCGGCACTAAAACGTTCAGCAAGGGCATGAAAAGACATTACGGCAATTGGCCCATGGAGGCTTTGACCTGGATTGTCTATTTTTAGGGATTAAACAGTGACACAGACTAAACTGCCGACCATTTAATCACATTACGCAGGAATTTAGCATGGCAGCCATACAATAGCCAGATCTCCATAGATAATAATTGAAGCGTGTAATCAAAGCAAATATTGAAGCAACCACCGTGTCAGTGCTTCCTGTGGAATTTCTTGATTTTGTCGGAGTTTGCTGTTCTGTCTGAGAACCCGACAGGACTCTGATCTCATTTTGAGTACTTTTCCAAAGGTTTTTTATTATCATCATATGTGGAAAGTTAAGTTACAGTATGTAGCAGTTACTTTTTCCAATCAGGAAAGAGGTTTATGTTTTCACCCCCATGTCTGTGTCTGCTTGCTACTACGTAAAATCAATGAGTTATAGATTTGTCATCTTTGGACCCACTGGCCGATGATGGACGGACAAAATAACCAACATGTCTCATGTCTAGTCGACTGGAACAACATGTGGCAGGATGGATGCTGCTGCAAAGGTGCTTCATCACATCAGACTATATAATTCCTTGAGAATAGTGAACAAACTAATCATGGTTTATGAGGAACTGATTGTAATGAATTTTTCCATTTAACCTTTTTGTTGATGAATTGAGCCCTTATTAGATGATTAAGAGGAGCAGTGAGTCATCAGTTAGTGACGGTACAAAACAGTCCAAAAAACAGGTGATTAAACAAATACAGTGTAAGGCTGATTCAGTATCAAGTATGACTGTCAGTGTTCATGTTTTGTTTGAATTCATTATTAAAAATAGCATTTAAGGTGAGAGAAGTAAAGATTGAGTTTGAACCTTGCATCTGTGGAACCTCTTAATACAACATCTGCTGATTGGTTGATAATTCTATTTGAGATAATGAACCGGCATGTGCACTAGCAAATGACCAAAAATTGTCAGGCAGAAGTGACAGCGCCAAATTGTGTGTCGTACAGAAAGCAGTCCTACTGAAGTCGTGTGTAGCTTCTCTTC